TACCAAGTATGTAGAGAGGCTCAGTTAAATTCATAGCCCAAGAAACATGTATGTTTGTGATTAATATGTGTTAGAATGAGGAGCGACATGGTAATAAAGTGAAAAGGTCTGGGGGCCTTTTGGGAAATCCATCTGACTGCAGGCTGTGGCTTCAGTAATGAGGCTGCTATTTTGTGGTCACAGAGGTAATGTTTTCTGATGCAGGCAGAATGATTAACAAGGTAAAATACCTGTGGAGAGGATGCTGGGTATGGAGGGATATGGCCTTTTGGAAAATGGCTCAGGGTGGAAGGCCGCTTGCCTTTACTTCTGCATTTTCAGGAGAATTTTCAGTTGAGAACAATAACCAAAGGTGGTGAATTCTTTCTCCTCTCTTTTGTTCTCACACTAATTCATTCAGTGGTGTGTGCGTCGTCTGTGTGTGTGTGTGTGTGTGCACGCGTGTGTGTGTGTGTGTGTGTGTGTGTGTGTGTGTGTGTGTTTGCTTGGGGGTGGGAAGGATGCAAGGTGAGAGGCAAGAAGAAATTGTATTCACTTGGCCTGTTTTATAGATCTTCCAGGATTCAGGTCAGACTGTTCGTTGTGCTCTACCTATAGGGCTGGCTTGCCTGGCAAATGAAAATGACAGAAGTTATGGGTCCCTGGGGTGCCACTGGAGGTGAAGCATGATTGTGTGCAGTGAGAGGGCCATACACAAAGCCCATTTTTACCCAGTTATTCCTCTTCCTAGAAGCTTGCGGAAGAAGAGATACATAGAAATAACAGTATTATTACTATTTTGGATGTGAACCTCAAAGTTGGGGTGAACTGGACCAGCTGTTTCCTCTTGTAAAGGCTGGGGGCCGCCTAGGGGGAAAGTGAAAGAAGATCAAATGGATCTTTTCTCTTTTCTCTCCAAATTTAGGCTGAGACAAAAAGAACAACGGTGCAGAGAAAAAGATAGCTAGAGAGGTAGTATCTAGCCCCTGCTGTCTCCACAAGCCATTCCAAGCTGGATAAAGCTCAGATCTGACCCTTATGCCAGAATAAGACTAAACACCCAAAAAGTGTGGAGGTGACTCGACATTCTCCAGCAAGTTGTGCCATGTTCTTGGGTCTCTTTGGGAACCCCATGCTTACACTAAGCAGTCCAGTATGTTGTCTTGGCTATGACCTGCCAAATCCCAACTCTTCTGTGTAAGTTTGCGGCAGGGCAGGGGACAGGCACACAGGGGCTCTCTCCTTCCATTCCGACTCACCCTTGAGAGGGAGACAGAAAATGTGAGCCAAAAGAGGAAATGGGACCAACACTGCCTTCCATCTTCTCCTCCCCATCCCATGCGTCTTCTTAGTCTTCTGCCCCACTTGTGTCTTGGATACCAGTAGTGGTTTCCTCCAATACTTGATTCTGTATTGGCTGCCAGAATGATACTCCTCAAGCCCGGCTTTCATCATATCCCCGAGTGCTGGAAACTACCGCCCAAGTCTCCCAGTCTCAAACAGAAAGGAGCAGCCTGCTCCCCTACTGTTGTATAAATAAAGCTTTATTGAATGAACACAGCTGTGTTCATTCATTTATATATTATCTACCGCTGCTACAAAGTTAGAGGTGAGCGACTGTGCCTCAGAGTGTGTGGTTTGCAAAGCCTAATGTGTTGACAGTCTGCCATTTACTTTACACATCTTCCAAGTCTTGCTTTTCCAAAAGATACCCAAACATCTACTTTTGGTGTTTGAACTCCTTGTCAGTCTGATAACAACTAATTCTTCTTGTCTTGCCTATACCCGGCCCCTCCGAGGACCTCATGAGCTAAGCAGAAAGGGATCCCCTACTTTAAACATTTTAGTTTTCATAGTTTTATGGGATTATAATATTCACCTAGAAAGGTACCACAAGTCTAAGTGGTACCGCGAAGGTTGTACCAGTAAGCTTTATTATTTTTTTCTACCTCTGGATCTTGAATCTATCAGGAGATGATGGTGAGTATAAGTATAAATATGGTGTAAGTAGGGGAGGTCGAGGTTTTTCCCTATATTAATATCGTAGTTAATACACCTTACTCAATAGCTCAGCGCAGTGTCACACACCTATAATCCCAGCGCTCTGGGAAGTTGAGGCAGGAGGATCATAATTTTGAGCCCATCCTGGGCAATTTAGTGACACCCTGTCCCAAAATTTAAAAGTAATGATAGTGAATTAAAAAAAAAAAAAGCTAGGGATGTAGCTCAGTGTAAAGAACTAGTTTCAATTCCTAGTACTCTTCCGATATCCACCTGTGCCACAAAAGTCCTTTAACCGCTAAACGGGGGTCACTGTTTTTACCTAGCAGTATGCTACTTTCTGCATAAATTATGTATGAGGAAGTCATTCTCTGTATTAAGTTTATTATTTGCAGTAGCACCAGAACACTAAATTGTTAGTAATAAATATTTGAAAGATATATATCGTTTATAGAAACAAGTGTAAAGCATTATTGAAAAAAGATAAAAATAGATAGTATATATACATGTATGCTTATATGTAGTATATTGTATATATGTAAAATGTACAGAGGTGTGTGTATGTAATTTATAATAAGCCTTGAAACAAAGTAGCACATATTCTCCTTCTTCAAAATCATCTTGGCTGCTCTTGGTTTGCTTTTTTATTTATTTATTTTATTTATTTATTTCTGTGGTACCAGGGATTGAACTCCAGACCTTGCACTTGTGAGGCAGGGGGCAGCACCACTGAGCTAAATCCCAGCCCTCTTTTTGTTTGCTCTGAGGTGAGTCTTGGTACGTTGTCTAGAATGATCTCAAACCGGGGATCTCAAGAGCTCTCAAGAGATCCTCCTGCCAGAGTCTCCTCGGTAGCTGGATCGTCCTGGTGCCTTAATTTCCCATAGGAAATGTAAGATTTGATTTTTAGTTTGTATTAAAAAACCTAATGAATTTTCAGATGGGGTTACGTAGAATTACAGTCAGCGAAGTCTGACCGTGAACATGCACCTCTAATTAGACTGGCTTTTGTTTTTACCAATGATTTTGAATAGTTTTTGGTAGAGAGGTTTTTGATATTTTGTATTGTAACATTTATTTCTAGAAGCTGGGATGTTTCTAATGTGACTTTCTGATTTCTCGTGTTACTAATATATGGGAATACAACCAATTCTTTGCAGGTTGCCCTTATGGCTAATTACCTTGCTTAATTTATTTACTAATTCAAAACTGTCTGAAGATCCTGTTGGGCGTTATATGTAGTTGGTCATCTTGTTGGTTACAGTGACAGTTTTACTTCTCTTTCTTCTCCTATCCTTAGTCCTTTTGCCTTCTTGCTGGCTTTGTTACCCAGGTAGGACAACTCCAGCGTTGCATATAAGTGGTGACATTGTGTAGCTAATTTCTTGGCTTGGTGTGTTTTTCAGCCTAGCAGAAATCTTCTCATTGACTTGATCTTCAGTATGTGTGAATGAAAGGAATTAATAGGCCCATACTGTTTGGAAGAGCCTTTTATGGCTGCAAATAATTGTAGATCCCTACATCTGTTTCAGAATTCTTCATCTCTCTATAGAGAATTCACAGCTACTCATTAGACTTGCTAGGTTAAATGAATGTAAAGTTCTTTCCTGGGTATAGACATAACGATTGTCTGTTGAATATTCATTTCCATTGACCATTTCTTTATTGACTTTGTTTACATTAGTTTCTTTGATAGCCCTGACAATCCTATAAGAAACCACCCTTGTTCCACCAGCCTTTCCTTCGCAGAAACCAGTAGCCTAGGCCTAGGGATCAGAAATTACAGACATCTAAATCATTCAGGTGGACGTAGCAGAGCTGTTTGCAACCGTAGCAGTTTGCCTGCAAAGGCCTCCGACACTGCAGCCTGACCCACCCAGAGAGCCTTTGATTGTTTGGGGGAAGCTTTCATCAGCCTTCTCAGTGTTCCTTGGGTTAAACATTCCTGGGTCTGTCTTCTTGCTCTCTACGGACCCAAAATCTCCTTTCCTCTTTCCAGTTATGTGTCCTTCTCAGTGCTCCTTTATACACAGAGCTTGGTGCATTGGTGGAGCGTTAATGCGGCTTTGAATGGTTTCATCCATGCTCTGCCCTTTTGAAATTCTGTCCCCAGACCCCTGATCATCCTTCTTGCAGATTTCGATGTTTAAAGATTTCACTTCTGTCTTAACACGGCCATCTACTGTCTGTGTGGCCTCCCACAAGTCCCCGGATCTCCCCAGGCCTCGGTTCCTATCTCTGGCCTACGAAGCAGTCCCTTCCCGCCTGGTTCCTCCTCAGACCCTGTGGGGACCCACTGAACATAATGGATGGGGAAGTTGTTTGCCCGCTCAGAAGAGCTCCATCAGGGCCACTTATTTTTAGCACACACGTCATGGTGTTGACACACACGGGATGAGTATTTGGATGAGCGGAGCTGAATTCAGCCCTGAAAAAAAAGTGAACAAAAGGGACTTTAGCAGTGGCATTCAGCCAACACAAGAAAACTACAGGGACTGCGTAAGGGACAGAAAGAGGAGGGTGGAATTAGCCTCAGAGAAGGAGGACTCCCAGACTGGAATGTCTAGCTGGGGCTTTGGGGAAGCTGCCGTGGTCTGCGAGGTCGATGGGGGCCGGGAAATTGTAATCAGAGATGGAGATGCTGAATTTTGTGTGTGTGTGTGTGTGTGTGTGTGTGTGTGTGTGTGCGCGCGCGCGCGTGCGTGTCCTCCCTGCCCCCAGCGAAATTGCAAGGAGGAGGCAGCGCCATTCCCCCCTCCCCTCCCCCATCCCAGAAGGCTGATTATTATAAAAATTCTCTGTCATTGCTTTGCAATGGTCCATAGCCTAACTAATTTAAAAATGCAAATGAATGCTAAATTACGGTCCGGTTTGGAGCTCATTTCCTGCCCGCGTACCCAGAGATGCTCGGCATTGTTTCCACGGCTGGCAAGCAGGCTGGGCGCCCCCTGGGTGATGTGACAATGGCCCACGGCGTCACCGCTGAGGTCACAGGTCGTGCAGCCGCCGGGTCAGAGCAGCGCTGTGCGCCTTCACTCCTCCGCGTCTCAGCCCCTGCAGTGGCGCACTGCAGCATCGTCTTACTTCTCTTGACATCCACGGGGCCGCCCTGCGCCCTCTGCCATCTGTCAGCCCTGCGACAGGCCAAGTGATGTGCCTCATGTACTGGTTAGACAGCTCTGCATACTGCCAACCCTTCTAGTGGGGAGCTTTGCGCCTGAAAGCCTGTTTGCTGTTTGCTGATGATGGGAGGAGGAAGAACAGAGTCCTGGCTGTGAGCGAATGGTTAAATCAGTGTGCTTTGCAGGGTACTCTAAGAACCAGAGCTCTCTAAAAATGCGGATTCCTGCGCCCCACCTTAAACATCCAACAGTGGAATTTGTATCAGTACTGTGCATCAGAAACGTATGACTTTTCAAACACGGCTCTCAGGCAGTTCCTACACATATTAAATGTTGAGGCTTATTCACCATCCACGGTAAGATAATGGAGTATTGGGGCGGAAAGAGCCCTAGAAATCTTCCAGTCCAGAGGTTTTCAACCTTGGTTGTACGTAAGAGTTACTGGGGAGCCTTTAAATATCATTAGAATGTTTGGGGCTGGGGCCAAGCTGTCAGTGGTTTTTAAAGCTCTCCAGGTGATTCCGACTGACAGCCGAGTTGGGAGTCACTGTTGCATTTTGTTGTTGTTGTTATTATTATTATTTTTTTTTTGGTACCAGGGATCGAACTCAAAACTTTGCACCTGCAAGGCAAGTGCAGTGCCACTGAGCCACGTCCCTGGCCCTCCAACCCATTGGTTTAACAGTTGGGAACAGTGTGCCTTACAGAGAGACTGACCTGACTGTGAGAGGCAGGGGCTCAGGAAGGATGGGAAGTCAGGTTGCTTACTGCTTGCTGGTCTGGTGCTCCTTCTACCATATACCAGATTCTCTTTGTTGAGCCAATGACAGCTTCTGCTCCCTTGCATCATGTTCGTCCCGTACAAGTCAAGTGGCACCTGAAGGCAGGACCTCCTTGTGGGCCCGCGTGTTCATCTCGTCTCTCACACGGGGCCTCTGACTCCCGCCAGGCACCCCATTCACGCTGTGGCTTACAGCCCAGCGCCTGCCCCAGCCTCATCCTTGTTTCACTAACCCCCCAAGACCCTGGTCCACTGAGGTTTTGGGAAACGAGACCTTCAACCCTGGCGTTTGTTTTGCACATGTAACTTTGAGCAAGCAACTAAACCTCTTTGGACTTCTGTTTCCTTTCCTTAAGCAGAGTACTCGTCGCTAGAATGGAATACTTGGTTGGGAATGGGATTGTTTTTTAATACCATAGCCTATTTCTAGGCACAAAGTGGGTATCCAGTAAATGCTCAGTAAAATAAATAACTGAGCCATGCAGCCATGCGTATCATGCCCTCATGTCTCCTGGCTCATCTTTTCCCAGCACAATTTTCACATTCAATCATGTTTTAGAAGAACTGCTTTAGTGAAAATTTCTGTGGATTGTATCTATTTCCAGCCTCAGTAAGTGGCATAGTTACACCCAACATATATCTTCTACAACAAAATCTCAGCAAACAAAATAACTTGCATCTTCCCTTAGACTTTAAAATAATGGAATTTTCATTCAATAAGTATTAATTATATCTTTATTACATTTTTGGGGTATGATGGGGATTGAACTCCGGACCTTATGCATGCCAGGCAAGCAGTCTGCCCCTGAGCTGCATCACTGCCTACTGGTATCTTTACTCACCTCAAGTTGTTTGTGGCACCATCCAAGAAGAATGGCAAAAAGCTGTAAAGGATGGGAAATATGCTAAATCAATGCTAACATCATTCATGTGTTAAAAAAAAAATTTTTTTTTTTTTTTTTTTTTTTTTGTT